TGAGGGAGGATTGTTGCGTGGGGCCAGTAAGACTGCATCGAGGGGGGGGATGGGGGGGTTGTGTGGCACGGGTGGGGGGGGGGGGTGCAGTATGAGTAGGTGAGAGGATAATGGGGTTGTGTGGAGGTTAGGAACTGGGAGGCATTAGGAGTTTTATGAGAGTTAGAGGCTGATTTGCTTGGGGGGGGGGACGGACAAGGGGCGATGGGTGAACAGTGAGGTGGTTGGATGGAGTTGGTGTCTTTGAGGGGTCAGGGCGCTGAGCCCGTCACGGTGCAGATGATTTCCCTGTGATTTATTGTGTCAGATCAATAAAGGCTAAGGGCGGCCGCTGAGTAAATCTGAGGTTTCCTTGTGGTTACTGCTTCCTCCTTCGCTTTAACCGAGGCCCCGGTCCCGGCCTCCCCCACCCACACACTGCTCACTCCACAGCGAAACAGAAGGCGATCAATTCATATTAGCGACCATATCATTAGTGGACAGACAGCGCTGCGAGGCAGAGCAACTTTTCACTACGAATGCACTTCACGCTCCAAACTTTGACAAATAAATAATAAAAAAAATCACGCACCTGCTTCGGACGATGACCGCAACAGCCGGGAAAAGAAACAGGCGAAAGGAGAACGTTTAATTTCCGGGAGACCTTATTTAATGTCTGTAAACTGAAGTCTCTCTTACAGATCTGATTTTTTTTGTTACTATATGTCATGATACCAATCCCCCCACCCCCCAACCGTCGAACAAACCAGATTGCGCCTCGTTTCCAACCAGCGCGCGTGCACGATCCCGCCGATCATCTCCAACCACCCGCGCGCACGTACGCACTCCCTCCTCCCGAACCGCGCCGCTCCTTTACCCGTCTCGCCCCGCCCCCTCCCTATCCGCGCCGCTCCTTTACTCGCCCCGCCCCATTCCTCGCCCCTCCCCTCACATCGCTTCTTTTCCTCGCGCCTTCCCTTCTCCCTCTCCAACCCCCCCAGGATAGTCTGCGCATGCGCATGGTTGAGGCGGTTGTCAGAAGCGGTGTTGGTTTCCCGGGGTCAGTGGGAAGTTGTTAGCGGCTGTCACTGGCTTGGAAGGTAAAGTTTATCATGGCGAGGGATAGCGAGTCACTCCCGCCTCCTTTACACCCCCCCCCCCCCCTCAGAAAAATACACCCTGTAGCTCATATTGGCTTTGAGTGTGCATGTCTGTGAAGCAATGGAGACGATCACCGTGAACCGAAACAGGCTTATCAAAACTTTTGTGAAGACTTCATGAGTGACGGGGCTCGATTTTCATGGCGTTGCTCCAGCGAGTTGTAACCATGTACAAGGGAGTCGAGTGTTATGGAGGCAGGTGGGTAAGTTAAGAGCACAACCTGATTAGCCATGATGGTATTGAATAGCAGAAAGGCTGGATGGGCAAATGTTTTCTTTTCCCCCTAGAATTCCCTTCCTAAGAGCACTGTGGGTCAGCGTACGGAGCATGGACTGCAGCGGCTCACCATTACCTTCTCAAGGGCAGCTAGGGAATGGGAATAAATGCTGGCCAACCAGCTACACCTGTGCTCCACGAGTGAAAAAATAGAAATAGCTGTATAGCCTCAGGATCAATGTCTAATTGGAACGAGTGAGTGAGTTATCTTCTAAACCAGCCGTATTTGGACATTAATAAGGAGCAGGATCAAAGAACAAAGAACTTTACAGCGCAGGAACAGGCCCTTCAGCCCTCCAAGCCTGCACCGATCCATATCCTCTATCTAAGCCTGTCGCCTATTTTCCAAGGATCTGTATCCCTCTGCTCCCTGCTCATTCATGTATCTGTCTAGATACATCTTAAATGACGCTATCGGGCCCGCCTCTACCACCTCCGCTGGCAACGCGTTCCGGGCACCCACCACCCTCTGCGTAAAGAACTTTCCACGCATATCTCCCTTAAACTTTTCCCCTCTCACCTTGAAATCGTGACCCCTAGTAATTGAGTCCCCCACTCTGGGAAGAAGCTTCTTGCTATCCACCCTGTCTATACCTCGCATGATTTTGTAGACCTCAATCAGGTGCCCCCTCAACCTCTGTCTTTCTAATGTAAATAATCCTAATCTACTCAACCTCTCTTCATAGCTAGTGCCCTCCATACCAGGCAACATCCTGGTGAACCTCCTCTGCACCCTCTCCAAAGCATCCACATCCTTTTGGTAATGTGGCGACCAGAACTGTACGCAGTATTCCAAATGTGGTCAAACCAAAGTCCTATACAACTGTAACATGACCTGCAACTCTTGTAGTCAATACCCCGTCTGATGAATGAAAGCATGCCGTATGCCTTCTTGACCACTCTATTGACCTGCGTTGCCACCTTCAGGGTACAATGGACCTGAACACCCAGATCTCTCTGTGCATCAATTTTCCCCAGGGCTTTTCCATTTACCGTATAGTTCGCTCTTGAATTGGATCTTCTAAAATGCATCACCTCGCATTTGCCTGGATTGAACTCCATCTGCCATTTCTCCAATCTATCTGTATTCTGCTGCATTCTCTGACAGACCCCTTCACTATCTGCTACTCCACCAATCTTAGTGTCATCTGCAAATTTGCTAATCAGACCAGTTATACCTTCCTCCAGATCATTTATGTATATCACAAACAACAGTGGTCCCAACACGGATCCCTGTGGAACACCACTCATCACAGTTCTCCATTTTGAGAAACTCCCTTCCACTATAACCCTCTGTCGCCTGTTGCCCAGCCAGTTCTCTATCCATCTAGCTAGTATGCCCTGGACCCCATGTGACTTCACTTTCTCCATCAGTCTACCATGGGGAACCTTATCAAACGCCTTACTGAAGTCCATGTATATGACATCTACAGCTCTTCCCTCATCTATCAACTTTGTCACTTCCTCAAAGAATTCAATCAAATTGGTAAGACATGACCTTCACTGCACAAAACCATGCTGCCTCTCACTAATAAGCCCATTTTCTTCCAAATGTAAATAGATCCTATCCCTCAATATCTTCTCCAGCAGCTTCCCCACCACTGACATCAGGCTCACCGGTCTATAATTCCTGGATTATCCTCGCTACCCTTCTTTAACAAGGGGACAACATTAGCAATTCCCCTGTCCTCCGGGACCTCACCCGTGCTCAAGGATGCCGCAATGATATCTGTTAAGGCCCTAGCTATTTGCTCTCTCGCTTTCCTCAGAAACCTGGGATAGATCCCATCCAGACCTGGGGACTTGTCCGCCCTAATGCCTTTTAGAATATCCAACACTTCCCCCTCCTTATGCTGACTTGACCTAGAGTAATCAAACATCTATCCTTAACCTCAACATCCGTCATGTCCCTCTCCTCAGATCTTTCAAGTTTAATCCATATCAACATGTTGAAATTTAAACAAATCTTTTGCAGGAAGTCAAACTGAATGTATTTGTATTCAACCATCCGCAGAGAAGGAGTTAAGACTTCTGGAAGCACCGAATTTTGTTTAAGCTTCTATGAATAATAATCCTATTATTCACAGGACAATTTGAAATAAATCAAAATATCATTATTGTTATGCTCTAGCAAATATCCAGTTACCAAACGGAATTATTCTGGATCTCTTGGTACATAGGAATAAGCACAAAATAGTTTAAGAAATACATTTGCCAATGAAATAATCTGAGATCACCCAAGAACATGTGTAGAATCCTCTTGTGAAACAAAATCCAGTTATAGAGGCACTACTTTTATTATCTAGGCAGTAAAATGAGAGAATGTACTTCAGCGTTACAAAGCCACTAAATCATTACAGGAGCAAAATTTGACAAGGTCATGGCTGATCTACAGCCTAACCTTAATTAAAGATTTACACAACTTTCTGGCAGTAGATGTAAGGATTGCTGATCTGGACAGAGTAGATCGGGAGAAACTTCCAGCTGATGAGATAGGAGGGTGCAGTTATTAGGTAATTTGCAAAAGCAAATGTGATGTGACCAAAAAACTTTCTTATGTAGCAAGCAGTAATGGTCTGGAACACTGGTGGAGGCAGCTTCAATTGAGGCATTTGAGAAGACATTAGATGATATTGAATATAAACAATATTCAGGGAGTGTGGGGGGAAAAAAAGAAGAATGCCACCAAATCGTAATGCTCTTCTAGGGAGCCCACGTATCCATGAACGGCCAAATGGCCACTTCCTGCGCTGTAACGATTCTGTGATTTTTGTTTAAAGTTCTCTTATTTCCCCCATCAACTCTAACAACAGTGACATGCACCATTTTCCAATCTAATTAATTAATAATGAATTATTCAGAATATCCATCACCTTATGATTTTTATTGGCAATTACAATGATCGGTTTTCCTCGGACCTGCATTGCTTCTAGCGATTCTCATTTTACCTCTGCTTTGGAAGTTGATTATAAGTAATATTTTGACCTGTTAGTTTGTTTGCAAGCAACACATATTGAAAACTAATTGATGGATTTCAGAAACATTTGATATGCAGATGTGGCCATTTGTGCTCAGTTCAAAGGCAGGTCCTCGGCTAAGTGTCTGCTGGTAGAGGAAACAGCGAATGTCCTAAGAATAACTGATTAGTGCACAGTTCCAGAACTGAATCCTGGAATTTTTAAATGATCTTTTATATTAATTCTGAGGTTTATAAAATTATGATGTTTTGGCAATTTCACTTTAAATTTAAGGGAAAATGAAGGTGGTTGAGACCTGTTCTGCAGTTTGCTTGCCAGTAAGCCCGATCAAAAGAAGATTTGCTTGGAGACCATGGCAGCAGTGTCTGAAATCATGATGAGTAGACTCTGAGGGGCAATTTTGTCAACAACATGCTGTTCCCAATGGCATAAACCAAAGTGTGCACCACTTCCTATGTCTTACTATTTTCCGTTTCCCATGCAATTAAAATTAAAATTTGAGATTCCAACTGTGAGCACTAGACACATGCCCAATCATGCATTGGGAGAAGCTTTTCCATGGACAAAGAGAAGCTCTGCCTCATGGCTGCAACTTTCCAGCCAACTCCATGAACGTAAGGCTTGTTTATTGAGAGTGCAAAGGTGGCTCAGGTGCTTTACAAACTTTCATTTGTAAATGTTTAATGTTTCCTTTCAGGCAGATGGTCTATATCTGCCTCCTGCTGAGGCTCCCAGCATCTCAAATGCCAGATTTCAGCCAGTTTGATTCTTTCCACTTGATATCAAGAAATGGCTGAAGGTACTTGATACTGCAAAGGCTATTATGGGTCCTCACAACATTCCAACAACAGTCCTGAGGATGTGTGCTCCAGAACTCGCCATGCCCCTAACTAAATTATTCCAGAAAAGCAACAACGCTGGCATCATATGCTTAGTTATGCCCTGTCCACAAAAGCAGGACAAAATCCAGCCTGGTCAATTACCACCTCATCAGTCTGCTTTCAGTCATCAGCAAAGTGATGGAAGGGATCATTAACAGTACTATCAAGCAGCAACTACTACTTGAAAGTACTGTTAAGCAGCAGAATTAATCTGCTTGCTGACAGTTTTATCTGCAGGGGAAACATACTTACTGTTCCTGATCTCATTACAGCCTTGCTCCAAACATGGACAAAGGAGCTGAGGTGACAGTGACTATCCTTGTTAGGATAGAGTCATACAGTTCTGCAGCACAGTAAAAAAATGCTGCAGCCCATCAAAACAACCACCCAACTGTTCTAATCCTATTTTTTACCACTTGGTTCATAGACTTGAATGCCTTGGCATCACAAATGCACATCTAAATACTAGTTAAAAGTTATGAAAGTCTCAGTTGGTGCACCTACAGGCGGTGAAATTCTAGATTCCCGTCACCTTCTCAGTTGCAAAAAATATTCCACACATCCCCTCTAAACCTCCTGCCTCTTATGTTAAATCTATGCCCCTCGTCATTGAACCCTTCACTAAGGGGAAAAGTTCCTTCCTGTCTACTCCATCAATACCCCTCATAATTTCATGCATCTCAATTATGTACCCCGTCAGTCTCCCTTGCTCCACGAAAAATAACCCCAGTCTATTCAATCTCTCTTCGTAACTAAAATTTGCCAGTCCAGGCAACATCCTAGTAAGTCTCCTTTGTGCCCTCTCCTCTCTGTCCATGATAATTTTTTAAAGTATATCACAGTCCTTCTCCCTGATTTCTGTACTCATATTGTTCTTCTCACTAGTGAACACCTACACAAAGTATTCATACAGGGCTCTACTTATGTCCTCTGGCTCCATGCACAACTTACTTGTTGTGGTTCTTAATGGGACTCTGAATGTACTTGTAAAATAATTTCAGATTTTCCCTTAATTTAGCTGCCTTTCATGGTCTTTTTTTCATGGCCTCTTTTTGCTTTCCTAATTT